TTAATACAACTGTTTTATATATAATCCCAAACATATGATATAAAATCCCCTCTACCAAAAAACTTAAATTGGGTAACGCCGGTTTGAATTTTTACAATTGAGCAATTGTCAAAAATCTTCCTTTTTATCAAAAAGTTATTTACCAGGGTGTCTTTGAACTAATGATTGGTACTGAGTTAAAGAATGCACACACATAAAAGATTGCAGCCTTTTCAATACTCATTCAGTGTTAAACCTTTTTTTGATTGGGCATTGGTTTTTTCAATCTTTCTATGAATATGTTGATGTGTGAATTCATAACTGCTTTGAGAGAATGGAAAATTCAAAAATTTTAAACCTCAATCGCAAGCGAAGAATAAGTAATGAAAACTGGATAGAAAAAAATTGTTGATTTAAAATTGAAAATGATTTCACACTTACACAGCTCTGCTCGACGCAATGCAAAGAAACTCATTTTTTATCGCAAATATTATCGGTTCAATAATTTATTCTACTCCTGTGTATTTCGCAGTTGTAGAACGCATTTTTACCGCTATGCAATTCAGATGGGCAGATGAAAGAAACTGCCTTGACGTATCCATCATCCGAAGTGACTTTTGTGTTCGTTTAAACGTTAATAATAGACTGACAAACACGTCGTAATGTAGTTTTTATTATAAACTCTACGCCTAGTACAACGAAAATTATATTTAGTATGCTTTCTTGTTATGTTACATGTAGTAACTAGAGGCCTGCACAAAGTTTGAAAATTATGAGTCAAACAGGGCGGATTGAGTTCAAAATGTTAGTACTTCAATAGAAGATATTTCTTGGAATGGGTTGAAAATGCAGCCCACATCAAGATTCAAATTTGTTCGTGTTTTAAACCAAGGAATTATATCTTTTTTAGGAATGGCGCTCTTAACCCATCCACCACTCTGTCTGTGTCTTTATGGAAATATTTGTGGTTCAAATGTTCTTTCAGATAATTGTAAGAGTTTCACCAATCACATTTTGTAAATTTGTTTGCTTTCGAAGGAACATTTTTAAAGGTGTTAAGTTAATGAAAACGAGCCTTTACGATAATATTATCTGTTTAAACACATACATACACACCGCCACCTCTGCTCCATTCCGCCATTCATTCTCTCGCCAAACAAAACGCGTCCTGTTTTATTGAGCTTCTCACCAGGCAATCCTGCCTATACTACCGTGCTTACAAGATAATTATTTTTAACTAAAACCACGAATATATCGTAAGATAAATTTCTTAAATAACAGAGTTTTACGATATGTGAGTAGTGACTCTGTTATTTATGGTGACTGATAACCGATGGGCAATCATATACTAAAATTCGCACTAGAGATGGCAACCGGCTACTGACTGTCGGCTATTGAGCCTAGTTGCGAAATGTTCTGTTTACCGCTTATAACGATTTTGTTATTTGTTTACATAAATTCTTAAGCACATTACTGAGATTAATCGTTACACAAAGTACGATACTGGTAGCCATTGCTAATGGACCAGCAACTACAGACGAGGCGCCATACATAATGGGGCCATACATTTACTTTGGTTAGTAAACTGGTCGTAATAATCCTCTCTGAAACAACCAATATACTTAGTTCATATGTACCGTATCTGCACACATAAATACTCACTTAACGCAACAGTGTTGTTACATTGCGACCAAAGCCACTCAAGTTTGCTTGCGTACCTATGCTTATTGTGCACATTTGACATTCGAAAGTGTTAACTTATATTACACAATAAGTCAACCAAGAGTAGGACATACAAATTAGGCGTACGTGATGAAACAGGAAATTTGGCATTTGTCATTCTAAGTCTGCCGTACACGCCTAAGTCTAAAATATTTTACAAGGCAATTTCGAAAAAAAAAATATTTTTCGACCGTAACTATGGGTCGTCTTTTTACATTTTTCGGTGATAACTACAATTGTATGTATGTATATTTGACCACATTGTTCTTCTGAAATATTCATACATACTCACTTGCTTAGCAAAAGTTTAAAGATTTTCGGAGAGCTTTATTTCACTGACATTAGGTTACGAAGATATGACGAAAAATATCGAATTTTCGAAATTGCCTGCAAAAATACTTAAGACTCAGGAGCGAGCGAACTTCTTTTTATGCTACGTTCTAATGCACAAATACATAGATATGTATGTATGTATGTATGTATGCATGCAAATACGTGCAAGTGCATTTCGATAGTCACAGAAATGTTCTAGTACGCTTTTATACTTTTGATGGAATAAAAGCATTCATACAGAAAGTGATTTTTTTTTTTATGTTCAGGCAGCAGTCCTTTGGCATCGGTGAATGCAAACAGCTTTTAAAAGTGTGAATAAATGGCAAAATTCAGAAGCATATGCATGCTTGCTTATACGAACTTAAATTGCATAAAACTCTGTGAACCAGAGAAAAAATATTCATTAAAAGTAGTGCGTAACTATTTGTGATGATTTCCCAAAAGGAAAATATCAAAACCGCAAATTGGACTAAATGCGGGGATTTCTGTCAGTTTTGTACGTATGCGATAAGAGTCTGTGGCAAATGTACATATATACAGTTATGACGACCTAACATAGCTTGAATAGCCCAATCACTTTAGATTTTTTCAACGAAAAAATTCCGGGAAGAAATTTTTTGACGACGCAGTTAGGTGACTCCTGTTTAGGTGAACACGAAAATAAAATATTTTCCCCCAAATTGTGATATAGGAAATGTCCGCCATTTTTGATTTAGTGGTTTTTACAATTTTCGCGCGAATTTTGCATTAGATTTTTTCAATGAAAAAATTCAGGGAAGAAATTTTTTGACGCAGTTAGGTCACTCCTGTTTAGGTGAACACGAAAATAAAATTTTTCCCCCAATTGCGATATGGGAAATGTCCGCCATCTTGGATTTTGTATGTTTACGATTTGTGCGCTAATTTTGCATTTCTCGCGAAAAAAGGTGGAGAATAAATCTGTAGAGAACTCGATTCCCTACAATTTTCATGTGCCTATCATTTTTTTAAACAATTACATTACAATTAAACAATTGTGGACGACGTGTAGATCTCGACCAACAACGCGCTTAATACAGCGGCAGGGGAAAGCTACTCCAAACTTTTTTCAAAGTATCTCGGAGGTCGTGTTTTTTGGCGCGTATTTTCAACTGTGCGTTCACCAATAGGCCAAGCCCATGAATAACTATTTTCAGTCAGTTGAAACTGTAATTAGCAAATAGTTTTTGTCCTTTTATCAATACGACTTTTCTCTGATTCTAAAGAGTTTTATTGTGGCGAAAATAACTATGTGTGGATTAGGACTAATTTTCATCTTTTAATTCTCGATTAAACTTTTTAAATACTTTGAACTTTATTTTTGAAAAGATATATGTATATGTACATAACTACAAATGCATATACATTCATTTTTATTTTTAGTAAGTCACTAAGTGTTTTGATCACATGTTTAATGAATATTTTTGTTTTCCCCAAAACTTTTAAAGCCATAAAATATGCCAGCACTGCAGGAGAAACGCAATGAAGCTCAAAATATCTGAAAATCTGCAGTATTCCCTTGTAAAACATTTTTAACGAATTTTCACCTTTTCCTTCATTCTCGGTGGTGCTAAAAATGTGCAAGCCACAAAGCATTTTGAAAAAAAAACACACCGAAACCGCTCAATGATGCTTGTTGGTTGATTAGATAAACAAAAGCTTTTAAGGCGTTAGCAGATAATCGTAGAGCACTCATCTTTTCCAAGTATGCATTTCAAATACAAACGTACTTTTCGTACTGCACGTGTGATAACTATCGTGTGTGTACTATGTACAAGCGTGCATGCAGACATGCATACCCTTTAGGGAATTCCGCTTGTATGAAACTAATGGAGTTTGAGTTAATTTTGTGCTCCGCGTAACCTCTCTCTTAAATAAAAACCATATGATGAGTGCCACGGCGCATATTTTTTCATTTTAGAATAGGTAAAGTTTCCGAATTTTAGGCAAATCTCAACTTACACTGTAGGGGCGCTAAACTAACACACAAAAAAATGACCGCCGAGACAAGTGAACTTAATATTGCGTCGTAAATTGCGGACCTGTACACAATTTTACAAGAACAGGTCATTTTTCCAAAATACTACTTCCATTTTAAGTTTGCATTGCGAATGGAAAAAAATTCCAAGGTTAACATGAAAAATGTTGCGCATACGCCATGTATGACTATGTAGGAATACGGCCATGTACGAAATGGCGTAGGAGTAACATTATTTCCTACACCTATTTCATACAAAAACTAATTGGACATTTTCAATTGAACATTCACAATTTGTTCATTTATCCATTGGTACTCATCATTAGTAAGCTGAGTACATAAGAAAAAAATAAAAAATGTGTAATTTTTTAAATTTTTTCCTTGTTAAAGTTTGTAATCTTCACTTTTTTCGTGTCATTTCAAAAGTTGAGATTTTCCCTTCAATATTATAATACACTCTTGTTACAGTGGTATTTCGATAATCCGGTCACGCGGTGGTCCGGACAAATTTACAATCCGGACTGGTCTCAAAATCGGACAATTTGAAATTTTTTACTCTATAGCTCGGACACTTAATTGAATAATGCATATTTTCGTTCTATTTTGTAATTCTCGCTAAATAACGGCATTTGTCAGCAATTTGGACCGATTTTAAAAACAAAGCCAGCATTACAGTGTAAAGGCGAATGCGAATTTTAATAAAAAATTTCTACAACATGAAACGATCTAAAAATTAATAAAAGGAAGATCCATTTCTGTATGTACATAGGGGTGCCCAGGGGTACCCATTTATTTTAATTAATTTTTTGTGTTTGTTGCGTTTCTGTTCCAGTGTAGAGATGCTACATCGCACAAGGTCATGTAGCTTGGAGTAATTCAGCTTGGAGTAATTCTATATAGGAAACTCTTTTGAAAGATAAACTTCGAGGGACGCTCCAGCAAAGCCATTAACCGCCTGTATGCCTNCTTGGAGTAATTCTATATAGGAAACTCTTTTGAAAGATAAACTTCGAGGGCCGCTCCAGCAAAGCCATTAACCGCCTGTATGCCTGTAAGACAGCTATAGGCAAAAAGATGGGGAAAAAAACTAAAAAAAAAAAACATCTCCACTATCCAGTCCGGTTTCAATACCTTCGTTGATACCACTCATACACTCCGACTGAGCACAATTGATAATAGCGTTGCAAGATCGGAACCTCTAAAAATACATATTTTTATCTAAATCGCTATAAGCACAATTCTTGTCTTATCTGCATTTGAATTTTTTCAATTACGCCAGTGTTTCGAAACTTTTTAGTACACACTATTTCTGAAATCATTAGAATTTTCCACACAGGTTATGTGAATATGTGCATATACATAAGTAGAATGTGTGTGTATGTGGATATGTAGGACCATGCGTACTATCTGCAAACTTTGTGAGCATTTTAATAATTTTAAGTTTTTCGGTCCATTTCGTCTATTACTATTACTAGTCTTTTGTTTTTCAACGCATAATTTTCAATATACATATATACATACTAAACAGCTGCATGAATGCATTCGTTTGCAGCTTCAAAACATTCTCCTGATATTAGAATAGCCGCTCTCTTTAATTCTATGTTAGCGAATATGAATTAAGGTCTGATTGTGCATACTTTGCATAACTTCGCACAATCATTTGTACCAGTGAATAGAAGTGTAACTTAAGCAAAATCTAATCGCAATAGATCGCTAAGCTTTTAAAAGTTCTGCTAATTTCTGGGTAATGGAATACATACAAAATACGTACAAAGTACATAAAAAATTACAGTTTGAAGTTTATGCGAAAATGTGCGAAGTTATGCGAAGTATGCATAATCAGGCCATTAGAATGCTTTCGAAGAGAAATTAATATATTCTCACTCAATAGAATATTCATATTCTCAACATTTGCAACGGAAGGTGGAGTATTTGCGAATACTCTAAATCACTGATGGCCACTGTCTTG